GGGGGGGGGGGTATAAAGGGGGAGGTAGCTGAGCCTATACTAAGTTTACTGCTGGGCTGGGATGTGTGAGTGTGTGTGTGTGTTGTGTTCGGAGGCCCTATCTGGATCCGAACAGGATCCGAACGAACGATTCCGCGACCAAAGTAGAACCAGGCCCCGAACAATATTTTACTACTTTTCATATGGCAATAATGATCATTGCCATTTCATTGTGATGAACCGCATTTTGGCAAAAAGAACTGACTTAAGCGTCTGGGCTCATTGCTTCAAATGCACCCAGAAAATGATATCCTTAAACCAAGGAAAACACATTTAAAAAAAGCAAACAAGGACACTTTTATCTTTGCTTTATAAGATATTCACTGGTAAAACAAAGGCGCTAACTTCTACCTTTAAAAGGCGCTAACAAAGTTTGACGCCTTAGGAAAGGCACTAAGGTTTAGCGCCTCTCTAAAGGCGCTGAATTTGGAGGTAGTAAAACCTTAGCGCCTTTGGCAGGCCAGCTTCATTTGAGCTCGATACAGATTTAGCGCCTTTGCATTGTTTCATATCTAATACCCATTTAGACTCTTACCTTTAGCGGTCCTAGCTGTAATAAAGGTTCCGTCCCTTGTTTCTAGTTGGCAGATGACGTTTCATGACTCACTTAAGTAGTTTCATGAAAATCCATTTGTATCCCTTTGATTTGATGGTGCACTTGAAGGTGAAGGTCTTGAACTTATTAACAGTTTGAAGTAAAAACTACACAATAAATTGCATGACATTTCATGTCATTAATTTAGACACTAGTAGAGAACACAATTTGATCACTACACCGGGCTGTACTTCCACTTTACTTTCAAAACACCATGCTTCAATCCAATCAACATTGACAAGGAAGTTTCTGAGAGGTTAAACACCATGGTTGTTTTATGCATGAGAAAGGCTAAAAATCCAGTAGCACACATGACTGACATCAGCTTCTGACTTCCACTAAAATTTGTGAGATATGTGGACCATATTTGTACTTTGAAGTATCTAGTGATAATGATGTTTTCGTTATTTAAGGTCTCAAATTCTCTTTCACACATTTTGGCCTGGCCATGACTAACTGTGAATCAAGAACTAAAACAAACAGTACCGCCTTCCATAACTCCTATCCTCTTTTCACATTCCACATTTGAATTCACATTGACCAACGCAACAACCTTCCCGAACCGACTTTGTTGTTGTTGTTTTTGTTGTTTGTGGTGGTTGCAGACAGCAGCCTTCTCACGTTTTCGCCCTGCTTGTTTTGGTTATAATTTCGTTTAGTAGTCTAATATATTAACTGACAACCGTGCCCAACTTAAATGTCACTTTAAATTTGAGAAATACATGTTAATGTGTGGCTCGTATGGTCGAACTTCCTTTACACCCGAAGTTAGAGAGAATTTTGTTCCAAAGCTGTGTGAACGAAATTAGGTTATTTTTCATCATCTAAGGACTTATTCTACAAGAGGCTTCTAATAAAGACCCAGGTGAATGTCATTAAAACATATTTTATTTTTATATTTATATCAGTTTAGTGATTCTTCAATTTTAGTGATTTCATTTTAATTTAAAATTAATTAAATTTAAACCTACTTACATCCTTCTTTTACAGGGGTTCGAACTTTACTTTCCTGTTTGGGAGAGACAGCACTCAAGATTACTTAGTACAATTTAAGTTTATTGTTCTGTTTTCATCCTGGTGAAAGTATAGAGACTCACCTTTGGTTTGTTAAGGTTGGAGCATTGCCAGGAATTGGTTCCAACTAGCCTTCCTGCATCTACTGGCCGCTCTATCTAATTGATTAACTACAATTCTCTCAACACTTTTCATGAAGTCTGCGTAAACCTTGGGGTATTCTACATTTAAAGAATAGTACCCAGCTAATAGAAGAATTGCCACCTGGTCGGCTTTTGGGTTCGTGAGGGAATTGACGAGTCTACCCTCCATCATCAATGAAGCACTCCGGATATCCTTTACCCCAGTGCAGAAGTCTTGCTTCACCAAGATAACTATGAATGGGGCTTGGATAGATGAAGATGTAAGGTGTGGTGCTGCTTCCCTTTCCTGTATGGAAGAGCATAAGCAATATTTAGGTTTGACATCAATGAAGGTAAATTTCTATCCAGCATGTCTTTGATCTTTGATATTAAATTGGTTTCTTGTTTTTTTTTTTTTAATGTCAATAGATCACTGCAAGTTGTAATAACTGACAGGCAACTGTCATTATGTCATGTTACATACATCCTTTAAGATGAGCATTGGCTGTATCTTTTTCTTCAAGGATTTGATCAGAAAATGGTCATGGAGCCCCATTAATATTTCAGCTTTTGCAAGCTCTGCCTCTGCACTCAACTCAAAATGCCGGCTCAGAAGTGTGCAGCTTGCATTAAAATTTGAAATGAGTATGTCCATTTCCAAGTCTTCAAGCAGCAGATAGTCACATATCATCTAGAACATGGTTTGTATTTTTAATAGTTAATAGTAGAATCAAAAGTCAATACAGTACCAAAGTGCCTATTTACCATTTCTGGTGTTTTTAAATGTGGATATTTGTCAAGTATATCTCGGGGTGTCATTGAAAGTCTGATCAATTTTCTGAATTGTATAGTAGCCTGTAACAGTCGCTGAATCTCTTTTCTGTTGTTCCCCTCTCCGATTTCTCTTAGTTTTTGGTCCAATAGTTCTTGTTCTTTATCAACTTCACTAGCATTGTGTTCATCTCTGCAATAAAAAGGTAAATATGGTTTAGTTCGTTCTTAAAAGTTTCAGACTAGTACTTTAAATGTTTAGGCTAATCGTTACCTATCTCCATTATCACTTTCTTTTGGGGGTTGTTTGTTTTTCTGAATAGATTTTCCTTTTACATTCTTTTCATAGCTTCTTTTCCCTCGAAAGGAGGATCGCAAAGACATTTTGAAGACAAGCTGCAAATAAATAGTAAATGATCAGAGTTTGCAACCATCTCATTGCATGTGTGATAAAAACTTACCCAGTACTCATTTGATACTGGATTCTGATCCTTCATGTTCGGATACTTTTCCACCAGAGTTCTGCAAAAGTTTTTGTACCCTTCTTTAGAAGGACGTGTGTGACCATACATTTTTAAAAAAAACACCTTGCACTCTTCATTGATAATGCGCATTTTCCTTTTGGCTGTTGCAGGTTTATTCAGTTGGAGGATTGCTGCATCACTAAAACTAGGAAGAGGAGCTGGGTATGGTATGCATTGTCCAAGAACAGGGTCAACCTGTGAAAAAATAGTTATTGAGTGAAAAAGTATATTAGTTGTATGCACTTGAAATAACTGCTTTCTTGTACTTTTTGTATCTTAGGTGGCCTGTTTTCTTTATCACTATCTTCTAAATCTTGGTGGCAGGAGTCATCATCATCATCACCTTCACCATCTTCATCATCTTCATCATCTTCATCATCTTCATCATCAAAAACATCTAAATCATCTAAATCAGTATCAGGTATTTCCTCAGCAGGTGTGATATTATTTTCCAATATTCTTTCTGAAATCCCTGCTTCCAAAATGTGAAAAAGTTTAGTGCCTAATACAATACCTATGTCATATTTAAATATCTTTAAAGACTACACTAACTTGTAGGAATCTTAGGCTGTTTGGGTGGCCTTTCTTCTGTCTGCTTTTTAGTTCTTGGTGTAACTGGTTTCATGAAATCCGGCATTGTGATGGGCAGGCCT